AGTATAAAACAAGCATATACAAATGCAAAACAAACAACACAAATCTTTAAATTCTTTAAATTCTTCAAATTCTTTAAATTAATGTCTGTTAAACTCCATACTCTATGGCTTCATCGCTTTATAATATGTTGTCATCTCTCTTGTCCTCCTTGAGCTTCACCAACTTGGGAATCACATCTGCCAACAACACCATCTCGTTCTTGGTCTGCAAATCTTGGATGTCGCGGTTTCGGATGTTCACTGACTTGGACTCCATCTCCTGCTCACCCACAATGAAGATGAAGTTGTATCGTTGCATCTGCCCAGTTCGAATCTTCTTCTGCAACGTATTGCCTGACACATCAACGTCGGCCCAGAACCCATGCTCGCTCTTCAACTGCTCTTGCACTTGCTGCGCATACTCAAAGTACTTCACTCCCACAGGAACAACCAATATCTGTCTGGGCGACAACCAGAAGGGCCACTTGCCAGCATAGTGCTCCGTCAAAATGGCTGTCATTCTCTCAATGGACCCGTAGATGGCCCTGTGAATCATAACAGGCCTGGACACCTTGTTCGAGTCCTCAGAGTTGTACTCCAACCCAAATCGGTTGGGCAACTGGAAGTCCAACTGGATAGTTGCACACTGGTGCCATCTTCGCAATGCATCTGAGATCATGATGTCGATCTTGGGCCCGTAGAATGCTCCATCTCCCTCGTTGAGTTCCCACTTACCTCCCCAGGCATCGAGTGACTCTGCCAACTTGGCCTCAGCACTGTTCCATGTTTCGATCTCACCAACATACTTCTCAGGTCTTGTCGACAACTCCATCTTGAACTCAAACCCAAAGATCCCGTACACATACTTCAAAAATTCAAAGATGTTCGATATTTCGCTGCCAATTTGCTCCTCGGTGCAGAAGATGTGGGCGTCGTCCTGCTGGAATCGTCTCACCCTCGTCAACCCACTCAATGCTCCAGAAAACTCATTTCGGTGGATCACCCCAAAATCAGCGACTCTCCAGGGAAGCTCCCGGTATGACCTCTCTCTGGACTTGAACATGATGCAGTGCCCAGGACAGTTCATGGGCTTCAATCCAAAGTGCTCCTTTTCCACATCAAACGTGAACATGTTTTCCTTGTAGTTGCCCCAGTGCCCCGAAATCTCCCACAACTTGGAGTTAAACATGTTGGGCGTGATCACTTCTTCATACCCTCTCTTCTTGTACTGCGACCTTAGCAACTCAACTAGCGAATTGTAGATTCTGGCCCCATGGGGCAACCAGAAACACGACCCAGGCGACATTTCATTGAACAAAAACAATTCCTGCTCCCGCCCAATCTTGCGGTGGTCTCGCGAAGCTGCCTCAGCAAGAAACTTCAAGTGCTCGGTCATCTGCTTTTTGTCCGGAAACGAAATACCATAGATTCTCTGCAACGAGTCGTTGTTGCTGTCTGCCAAAAAGTACGACGACGAGTTCTTCAATATCTTGAAGCTCTTCACCTTCCCGGTGTTGGTCAAATGGGGCCCCATGCACAAGTCGATCAATGGCCCACAGCGGTACACTGTGGTCGACGAGTTGTCAGCAACCTTGGTTTGGATCATGTACGTCTTGTATTTCGAGTACTCAAACATCTTCAATAGGTTTTCCTTCGACACCACCAATCGCTCGAACTTCTGTTTCTGCTTGACGGCAACCTTGGCCACATTCTCAATCGCACTGAAATTGTCTGGTGTCACACTGTCCTCCACAGCAAAGTCATAGAAAAACCCATCAGACACTGGGGGCCCATGGCATAGAAGACACCCCAAATTCAACTCGCAGCTCTCTCCTAAAATGTGTGCTGACGAGTGGTGGAACACCTTTCTCCCATCCTCACTCTCAAAGTCCAAGAACTCCACCTTACTGTCTGTCTCTAGGGGCCTTTCCAAGTCCCATAGCTCGCCATTCACCCTGGAAATGCACTGTTTCTCGCCAAACGACTTGCCAATGCCATTTGCAATCTCCAATGGCGACGTCTCCCACGAGACTCCCTCAACGGTCTTGCCGTCCTTGAGTGTGATCTGGATTGCAACCCTGGGTTTCAATGCCACTTCCTTGTCGTATTCGGCTTTCAACTGCTCAAACAACTCAATTCTTGACTTGATGAACTCTGGTTGTGGATCAAGAAACAATGGGTTTTGGTTTCCCTTTGCCTTGAGTTTTGGCTTGGACTTCGCATTAGCATTAGCATTAGCATTTCCTTTGGACTTGGCCTGTTTGGAGGCCTGTTTTTTGTCATCGACTTGGTCTTTGATCTTCACGCTTTCTAGTTTTTCAGCGACATTGTCAACCTTTGTCTCTTCAGAGGCTGTCATGGTCAGATTGATCTAATTAATGAAATAAATAAGTAAACAAGTAAATAAGTAAACAAGCAAACTAAGTAGATAAGTAATCAATTAATGTAAAAAACTATTGTTGCAACTCAAATGGTGCTGCAAGATGCTCAGAATATGAAAAGTGTCAACAGTATAGTAGTATAGTATCTCCAAATATCAATAGCAGCTCAAATCCGCCACAGATGCTATCTTATATTTCGTTCTGCTCGAGCCCAATTGGTAAGGAGATTGTTGATAAATAACAGCACGGTATCTCTGAAAAATTTTTAGAAGCGATCCATGAGTCACTATCCGTGCCGTGGCTATCCGGCGGCATCCGTTATCGTTGGCGTTTCACCAGCCTGGTTTGTGTGTGGCACGCACACGCATTAGGCCGAAATAGGCTGTTGGATGTGGTGTGTGGCGGTGCCAGTGTCATTCCAAATTAGGAAAGTTTTAATTACTACGATTGAGCAAACAGATGTTTAATCCTAAATAAACTGTTATATAGAAATGAGAATTAGTCAAGCATACAAAACAAAACAAAACAAAATAACAAAAAAAAATAACAAAATATAAAATATAAAATATAAAATATAAAATATAAAATATAAAATATAAAATATAAAATATAAAACCTAAATACCCAAATACCCAAATACCCAAATACCCAAATACCCAAATATTCAAATACTCAAATACCTATATCCTCATTTCTTCGATGTCTTGATCGCAACTTTAGTCACTTTGGCAAATGTTGGTTCGGACTTATCCACCTTTTTAATTACACCAACACCAACTGCCTGTCTCATGTCCCTGACAGCAAATCTGCCGAGTGGTGGATACTCAGCAAATGCTTCAACACACATTGGCTTGAATGGGACCATTCTGACAATAGCAGCATCGCCGGATTTGAGTGACTTTGGTTCTTCTTCCAATGTCTTGCCACTTCTTCGGTCGATCTTGGTCAACAATTCAGAGAACCTGCAAGCAATGTGAGCAGTGTGGCAATCCAACACTGGAGAATAGCCGGCAGAGATGTGTCCAGGGTGGTCCAAGATAATAATCTGAGCATCAAACGACTTGCAGCCCTTTGGTGGGTCGTTCTTAGCATCGCCACAAACGTTGCCTCGTCTGATATCTTTGACAGAAACATTCTTCACATTGAATCCAACATTGTCACCTGGAACACCTTGTGGCAAAGACTCGTGGTGCATTTCAACAGATTTGACCTCAGTGGTGACACCAACTGGAGCAAAAGTAACAACTTGGCCTGGCTTGATCACACCAGTTTCGACTCTGCCAACTGGCACAGTTCCAATACCACCGATTTTGTACACGTCTTGCAATGGCAAACGCAATGGCTTGTCAGTGGGTCTGGTTGGTGGCTCAATCGAGTCAATAGCTTCTAGTAAAGTCTTGCCGCCATAATTTCTAACTTTGGTTTCTTTGGTCCAGCCCTTGTACCATGGACAGTTGCAGGAGGGCTCAACCATGTTGTCGCCATTCCACCCAGAGATCGGAACAAAAGGCACACTCTTGGGGTTGTAGCCCACTTTCTTGATGAAACTGGACACCTCTTTTATGATCTCCAAAAATCTTTTACCATCCCATTTGACAGAGTCCATCTTGTTCACAGCAACGATTAGCTGTCTGACACCCAACGTGTATGCTAGCAACGCGTGTTCTCTGGTTTGCCCATCCTTAGAGATGCCAGCTTCAAACTCACCAACACCTCCAGCAACAATCAAAATAGCACAGTCAGCTTGAGAGGTGCCTGTGATCATGTTCTTGATGAAATCTCGGTGCCCTGGAGCATCAATAACAGTGACATAGTATTTGGGTGTCTCGAATTTCCACAAAGCAATATCAATGGTGATCCCTCTTTCTCTTTCGGCTTTTAATTTGTCCAAAACCCAGGCGTATTTAAACGAGCCCTTGCCCATCTCAGCAGCTTCTTTTTCAAACTTCTCAATAGAACGCTTGTCAATACCTCCGCATTTATAGATCAAATGGCCTGTGGTAGTTGATTTGCCAGAATCAACATGGCCGATAACAACAATACTAACATGTTGTTTTTCTTTGCCCATTATTAATTTGATAATGCAATCACAGTATTTGATATAAAAAAAAAATTCCAGGTAGAATATCAGGTAGAATATCAGGTAGTTCACCATTGTTTAAATATAAATTCTTTTACCGAAATCATTGTTGATTTCAAATCAATCAATATACAGCGTGCCACTAGTTTGAGGAATACCCGAAAACAATCTGCACCACTTAAATCAAAATAGCAAACTCTCTTGAAGCAATGAGTCAGAGCAGACAGCAGAAATTGCTGATTTGAAATCACGATAAATTTGGAATCAGCTGTGCATTGTTGAGTAAGTAAACTGAAGGTGTATTATTCCACACCAGGAAGTATAATTCAATGCGAGCACAAATACGCAATGCTCTGCAAATCACTCATGTTGGATATATTTCAACATCAAGCAACACACTCACTTCGATCAATGCACCAAATTTTATTGCAAAGTACTGGTAAGTTGGAAGCGTAGACACAGAAATACTTTGTTTATTTAGTCTGCTTAGTCTGCTTAGTCTGCTTAGTCTGCTTAGTCTGCTTTCCTGCTAATATCACCTCACGAATCAAGCACCATATCTACTTACAACACACACTTTTCAAACCATTACAGTCCTCAAAGTGCAACTCACCAAACAAAAATCTCCACAAGAACCACACCAGCCTTCTGTCATTAAAACCACAATAGCCTTCTGTTATTGGTATTTCTTCTGTCCTCTGGTCTGCTTTTGTTTCCTTCACATCTATATTGACCTGTAGCTGTTTTGGGGATTGACTTTTCACATAAGATCCCATACCATTTTTCACTCTTAGTAAAGCGTCGCATCCATCTTTAGTATCTTTTGAATCGCTTGACTGTTATATTAGCGATAATATTTTTCAGATTTGGAATTTTGATATGCCTGACTTATCAGAATCGTCATTTTTTCACCAAATTTGCTTTTTAATTCAATCAATTTAAATAATAAAGACCCGATGTTCTCATATTATTTAAAACACCTGTTACTGGATAACTTGTTCAATATGCTTATTTGAAAGCAGAAATTTACAATCGATAATTTCGAAGCACCTCCAATTATCTACCTAATCTTGATATTATAATACTATAATTACGCCCAAATAAACCCAGCATCCATACTTGGTGTTTTTATTAACGTGTTGATCATGTGATGCTTATCGCAAATGCTGTTCATGTTTTGCGAAATTTGCGAAAACAGTTACACGCTAACAATTCTTCGGAGTCTACCCTATTTAAGGTGGGTAACGTGACGTCTGGAAAGCTCGTTTCCCCTTGGAAATAAGCCATACTTGCTACTCTATAGTCTTACAGTCTGTTCCTTTTAGTCACCTTTCTAATTATCTTAATTTTGCCCTTATCCCCTTTTTCGAAAATAGGAATACATGAGAGAACTAATCTATATATGCTTACTGAATTTTAATCACGTGTAATGAATCTCAACAACAATATTCACTAAAGGAGGGTAAGTGTCTTTGAATCTAATGAATGCTCAAAAATACTCAGTGTGTTTGGCTTGTCATTTCCGTACTCAATAACCCGGTTTCTGTTCGTTATATGATCTAGGCTGTTCGTTTGCGAATTTATTTGAGCTCTTGATTTCTTTTCAGTTAAATTACTTCTGATTAATTTCCAAAAACTGCTTTTGCTTTAAGAGATTTATCATCTATTTTAAATTAGTTTTTAGATTGCAATTTATTTCCATTGTTTGATATAGCGCGACTTAGTGGCAATATTTGAACAGTTGTTTAATTGTCAATATTTTAATCGATACTTCTATCATGTCAAATTCAATCATTCTACCCAATCGTGGCAATGTCTCATTGGGAAGAACTCAGTTTGGTGAAGAAGTTATAGATATTTCCTCGGACAATGAGTTGGATTTATCTGATGTTCCCATGGATGAAAACGCTCCAATTGATATAGAGGATGATGAAGAAAGTGAAGAGGAAGAAGAAGAAGATGGCGAGGATAACATAGAAATTTTATCCAATGGTCAATTTCCTTCAATATCTCACCCTGCCTTAAATATTAATTCAATTCCTAATACTATCAACATTAATGCCCAGAGAATCTTTACCAATAATGGAAACATGGGAGCTAATCTTGTTCCCCAAGTAAAACCCTATGTTGATAAAGATTATAAGTCAGTCGAGGATGTCAGTGATGATGAAGAAGACATAGACTATATAAACAGTGTTTTGTTTGATAATTTAGATGAAAAAAGAAAATTAAATTATATCATCACCCAAAAAAAATCTCAAGCCCGAAATGTGCAATCTCTACCAAGTGATTATGAGGCACTAACTGAAACTGAAAGAAAAAATTTATTGTTTAATAATTTCAACAAAGATCAAATTGAAAGATACGAAGATTTTAGAAGATCAACCATCAATAAAACATTGGTTAAAAAGATTGTTAATCAAGCCTTGGGGCAACAAATTTCCACCGAGCTAGCTACGTTACTAGCTGGTTTATCAAAAGTCTTTTTGACTGATATAATCGAGAGTTCTATAAAAATTCAACAAAAGGACGAAAATCTAAAATTACTACAAAATCTAGAGTTGAAAAAAGAAATCAAATTTGCAAACAACAAAAATCTTGCTAATGGGCTTCTTCCAATGAAAGAGCCTGAAATCAAACTTCCAGATGATGATCAATTAGACCCTTTACTACCAAAACACGTTAGAGAAGCTTATAGACTATATAAATTGGAAGCTGAGTATTTGCCATCTAGCCAATGGCGAAGACAAGGGGAAGGCGATGGTTTTATGTTTAGATAATTATTATAACTCATAGATTTTCCCGTTTCTATGATCTGTTGTTTCTCCTTTAAACACTTTATTTTCTTCATGGAAGTTTTTTATACTCGTTATTATTTCATTTTCTAAAAGAGGCGTACAATCCACATTTGTCATATCTATTTCATTTTCCTCACTTTCGTTATTTTGTTTCGACATGGTTATTTTCATATTCCTGATTAAATCTTTTACCATGGAACCAATGAATTTTAAACTCTTTCCATTTTTCCTAAAATATCTGAACATTTCTTTTGAAATTAACATATTGTTTCCATCACATTTTTCAACAATCTCCTTTAAAGCTTCACTGTCCATAGTCAATCCTTTTAATTTCAAAAAAACTTCTAGTTGCATTGTTATTTCTTCATTTCTAGCTTTTTGCTTTGATTGAGTACTAGATATCATTATGGAAATTTTCGATTTTTCATAAGATTTTATTGATATTTTCTTTCTCCAAAATTTTAAAAACGTTTTTTTATCCAACTCATTAATCCCTATCAAATCAATTTTACAATTTTTCCTGAGGTAATTTAATGGACTAATATTAATCTTTTGGAATTCATACGTTCTTCCTGAAATCTCTTCCCATATTGCATTATGATGTTTTAAAATTGACGATTCAAAATTCGTCAATAACCCTCCTGTTCTAACCATTGACGTTGAAGTGATATTTTCTGGGCCTTCTGATTCTGAGTCTTTTGGCTGATTTCTATTAAAACTAACTAAATTAAAATATTCATTCTGAGCTTTATTTCCTAACATCAATGTTTCTAGCTCAATATTACCTAGATATTTTTTTAAAAATGGTTTTTTAATTTTGGACTCAAATTCTTCTTCGGTATAATCTTCAATTGTTTTTTCCAACTCCATTAAATACTTGTTGATTTCATCTTCTAGTTGTTCAGGACTGTACTTACCACTCATAATGGATATATGTATTCCTATAGTAGATCTAAATACTCTCAATCCTCCTCCAACTAAATAACCTAACTGTTTCTTCGTTCTTAAGATTGGGGAAACAGTATCAGAAATTAAATAGGCAACTACATTTGATAATATTTTGATTTTGCTGTCATTACGAAGTCCTGTTTGTATGTAGTAAACAATGCTATTTGTTGGATCATTTTCGGCAGATTTGCTTTTATAAACATAGGATCTTGAAGGTTTAATATAATAACTAGATGGCTCATTTAAAATTATTCTTCTTTGTTTTGTGGTAAATCTTGTTATTTTTCTGTCCAAGTGTTTTGTTAAAGTATTAAGTATTTTTGAATATTCAGCTATTTTTTCTTCCATATAATCTCCATGAACAAAAAGATTTAAATATAATCCATTACCAAAAAATTTGTTGGTATAGTTTTTAATATCGCTTAATTCTACCTCTTCAAGCGATTCTAATCGTTCATTTAAATTCCATGAATTTTCTTCAAGTAGCACAATTGAACCTGCTGATGCAATTAAAAATGATGGTTGATCTATTAATTCGTTATATCTCTCTCTTATTAACACTCTAGATCTTTTATAATCTTCATAACAGATCAAGGAATCGAATAACTTATTTACATCTATTATTTCATCAGTGATAACTTTAAGAATTTTTTCAATTCCATCATTAAACCCTGATATTGTTATGTTTATTCTAGAATCACCTTTCATTGAAGAAACTAAACACCATTGATATCCGAGTATTTCTGCTGGATATAGTTTTTTTCTTAAATGAATAGCAATCAACTCACAAAGAATCTCGTTGCATATAGTAGCTTTGGGAGAGGGCAGTGTATTGATACCAATCATCTCATATGAAATGCAACAACGAGATTTACAGGATGGAACAGTAGACTCATTCTTTATCCAAAGTTCATGAAAATCATTTCGAGAGTAGATTGAAGGAATGTTGATAATACAAGGGTCTTTGGTAAAGCAACTTATCCAAGAATTAGATGATTTTTCAGACAGTTTATCAAGAATTGTCAATAAGCTTGATTGGTATAGTGCTATATCTGGTAAAAATTCGTTTGTTTTTGGAATGTATAGAATATGCTCTTCTTTCTGTTGAGCAATCGTATGCAATGTCGACTTTTTTATTCTTTTCACAATAAGGGTGGAAAGTCTATCTTTCATAATTAACTTGGACAGTATTACATCAAAGATCTTGTATTGAATTTGGAAATTAATGTCCTTTAGATATGGTTCAGTTTCTGTTTTATCGTCGACAATTTTAATGAATTGGCCTAAATCTTCTTGATTACAGTTGTTATATTGAAACAAATTATTGATAAGAATTTTATTTTTTAACAATACTTCATTACCAAGAATAACCAAATTGAAATTTTCCATGCTAAGATGGGTTAAACCAAAGCCAATTAATTGTGTTGCACAGTTTGTCCACCATTTTTTGGCTTTATCACTTTCATAATAGCCACCTTGAAAGCCTTTTTGATCTATCCAAGATGGGGTTCCTTTCAGAATCCATGAATGGTTAAGACCCTCAAGATTTGATTGCAATATATTTGAAAGATCAGATACTTCATCCATAATGGCTTGGTTATTTTCTCTATAAATATATGATAATAGGTCTATTGAAGTTTGTTCTGATAAATATTTTGCTAGCTCATCAATATTTTTTAATTGAAAAATCATCTTGATATATTTGAAAATGATCTGCAACACCTGTAATAACTTGTTATAACCGTTTGATGTTAATTTTAATTCGACAAGAATGATATCGTTCCCTTGAGAAAGATCAGAAGTGTAACAAACTATTCCTGTTATTAAGTTTAATTTTTTATAATACGAGGATAAAGACCCATCAGATTCATTAGATAAGAGATTGCAACATATAGTTGAAAATAGATTATTTTCTCTATATTCTTGAGGGTTTTTTGAGTCGTAATGAACCGGAAAAATAATTCTCATTATTCCAGATGGCAAGGTTGTTGATTTAATAAAAACACATTTCAACAAGTTTTCTTTCGGGTAGATTTTACTTTGATATTTTTTGGCCCATGTATCGGGTCCTATTGCAAAATCATTTATTTCTGGTTTCTTTATTTTCTCAAATGAATAGATGGTATCAACCGAGTTATTTCTTCTTTTCAACTTGGAGAGTTTACTTTTTGAATCATAATCTTGCAAAATAGAAGATCTTATATCACTGAAGTTAGAAATAGCAAGTTTTTGCAAAGAAGTAATAGATTGGGGTCCTTTAAGAACCAATGTCATGTTTTCAGCTTTAAAATTTTCATTGTAATAACGTTTCAATTTTTCTCTCAAATTGATTTTGGAAAAAGCCGGCAAATCATTTAAAGTAAAAAAGTTTCCTGTGCAAAATCTATGGAATGGATGATTTTTATTTGCCAAAATTCGAAAACCATGGTACATAATTCTTCCATTTGATTTTTTATTGCTCGAATGTTCGTTGTCAACAGCAAATATTTCTTTTTTGGCCATATTTTCATTAAATAAAGGAGATTTAAAAAAGCTGGAAAAATGGTTTAAAACTTTGTTTAGTGTTGAATCAGATTGTGAGTAATTATTGGAACCTGAGTGTGATAATATATTTGGGATTTGAAAGTAAAAGCAAGTTTGTTCTCCTGTGGTGAAAGCATTTTGTCTTCCATTAACTGAAGATAATAATTTTCTATAACTTGAGGGATTTGGATATTCTTTTGTTCCTAAAAATAACATATGTTCACAAAAATGAGCAAGACCAGGAATATTATTAGGATCATTATTTGATCCACTTGCAATAGTTAGGGCACTAGCAGCAGAATCATTTGCAGGATCGGATATTAACAAAGTAAGCAAACCATTTTTTAGCTGGATAAATTTGTAATTCCTGTCGGAAAAGCACACTGGAACATGTACATTGTTTTGAAATGTTCTTATTTCTGTATAACTCGAGTTCATTGACAAATATTTGGGTTTTATTTTTGATTATTTTGTATCTATGTTATAGTTAAGGTAATAAAGCAGGAATTGTTGCAACTGCCCTCAAGTTTGAAAACCGACAAAATAGGAAAATAAATATAGCAAAAACAATCATTATTTAAAAATCACAATTGAGAAACTATCTATTTAAATCAAACAAGAATCCTTGAGTTAGAAAGGTATATTTCTTTTTTTGAAAGATTCTCACAATTAGAAAAAATATATAACGAATTATTTCCTAATTGGTCGAGCACAATTGGAACACTTTAACTTTAAACCGTTGGAACGATAAACAAAGTTGATTTAAGTTACAAACAAAATTATATATTAATTGATATCTAAGACCTAAAAATTGAAGAAGAAAACTATACCATGAAATAAATCACAAATTTTTTAATAATGAAAAGGAAACGAAAAAGAAAAAAATCCAAATAATTAGTAAAAAAGCATTTTTTATATATTTATATCTTAACAATAACAAAATAAAGCAATATTATTTTGTTTTTTTATTTATCTTTATTGAGTTTACTTTTTGCGTTGAAGTCATCTTCAGACCTAGAAAAAGTTCTATCATCATCGTAAGAATTTTTTATCTTATGACTATCAGAAAATACGTTATCATCATCATCATCATCGCCATCGGCTAATTCAAATGGGTTATCAGAAACTTTTTTGTTTTTAGAGCTTGAGGGTTTATTATTATTTTCATCATCAGATAAAAATAGGTCGTTGCTGTTATTATTAGAGCTTCCGACGTTTTGATAACCATTTTCAGGATCTTCTTTTGATAGTTCTGATTTTTTTTTATCTTGTTTATTTTTATTAACGAAATTTCCAACAAAGCTATCATTGTCAGAGTCATCGTTGATATCAAATTCATTTCCAAGGTTATTTAGTTCAAATTCATTGTTTTGGTCATACTCGAAATTATTTCCATCATCTTCAACATTACTAACTTGAGTTGAAACAATAAGTAAATAAGAATATTGAGTAGGTCTCCAAATGAATAGTATGACAATGTAGATAATCAAATAGACTAAGGAAGGCCAAAAGTCTATAATTAAAAATCTTGATTTCCAGTGCTGTTCAATCAATTCAGTTGTGGACATACCGATAAAAACAAAAGAAGAAACGACTAAACCTAGCAATAGGATCAATAAAGAGGCAAAAATGGTGACGAAAAGTTTTTTATAAATTTGTAATTTAATAGTTTGCTTTTGAGCCTTTAAATAAGCGGTTGTTTTATTTAAGGCGTTTAAAATGAGATAGTAGAAGATTGAGAAAGTTATTGCGAGTGGTATCATAGGTAGCAAAATCCATAAGGAGACATCTTCAGGATTTGATAAATAGTTGGCAATAATATAACTAACAGTTAAGATAAAATGAACAGCGGCAAATATTTTACATTTTAATAAAAGTTTTTTATCTAAATTTGGATAAACAACACCCATACCAAGAGCAATTAACAAAAGCAAATAAAATGAAAAAGTGACTTTAAAAGCATTTAAAACAGAAATGAAGACAAGATAGAACTTGATAAATATGGATTTATTTAAAGTCCAGTAGTTATAGTTTTCGATTAATTTGAGATAATAAGGAGTATGATTATTTTTCAATTCATAATAAAACCAAATGAGGATGTTTTCCACAATTAAAAAGGCAGTGAAGAATACCAAATTTTTTTGGATGTTTGTAATACTTTTTCTATATTTGTAAAAATTATAGCAGTAATAAACAAATGCAACCAAATAGATTAAAGACAAGAATCCGTAAAGAGGCAATTTTGGTATCTCAGCAGCATTCAAATTGCCAAAGGAATTGCTAAAATTTACAAGAACCCCATAGTTGACAGAATCTGGAGTGTAGGAGGCAACACAATAGTAGCCAGTATTTTTAATCTCGTATGAAGTATTGTACATTCCAAACTTGTTTAGATTGAACGTAAGAATGGCAGAATTGGAATTGTTTTTGGCATCTTTCGAGATGATAAACTTGTTCTTTGATTTTTCAGTGCAGAGACCCAAATCGATTGCGTTGTCATCACAGATGTACTTTTTTTGGTCGTAATAATAATACTGGTCGTCTGTGTCAGTTTTTGGAGCTAGATCAGCACCCAAATAGTCGATATCTTTGTACTCAAACAAAACAACAGACAAGATGATGCCATCCTCGTACTGTTTAGTATCGTTGATGTTCTTGAGGTTTAGTTTGTGGCCGTCAAAAGCCTGCAAGCTAACAGCAATAAAAGGGTCTTTGTTGCCAGTCCAGTCCTGGCGATTGTACATCCCAGAGCAAACCTGGGTGTAACCTTGTGTTATCTGTTCCAATTGCGCAGAAACCAACGATATCAACGCTAGCCATAGGGCAAATGTTATGGAGAGCACACTTCTATTGAACATTGATCAGTTAGTTGTGGATAGGGCAGGGGTGTATAGTACAGCGCTGGAGATGTTTCTGGGTGTCACCTTGCTGAAAACCAACTCAAGCGAAAAGAGGCAGCCTCAATGGAGAAGTTCTGGTGGTAGATTGCTGGATCTGCTGGATTTGCTGGATTTGCTGTTCGTGGTGGTGAGAGCAGATTAGAGATTCAATCAAAACGTAGCCGCAGCCAGACCCCTGGAGGTCTGCTTCAGCCACCGCCCGAACCCCTTTTTCAGGGTCTACCACACTTCCGCTTTGGGACTTGGCGAAGGAGACAAAAACGCCATTTGTGAACAGCTTCTTCTGGTGCTGGCGATGCTGGGGCAGAAGAAACAGAGCTCGAACAACTGCCATTGCACAATGCTCCTCGACGAGATAACTCTTGACGATATCGACTTGGGCTCCGTCACCAGGAGCTTCTGTGCCCTCAAGAGCGACTCCCAATATCTTTCGTCCTGCAATCCTCTGCTCTCCAGTTTGGACTCACATCCAGGCGACTCTGATATTCTGGAGAAAGAGCTCGAGCAGCTATTGTCCATTCCTGTTGAGGTCTACAAGTTGAAGTCTGTGGGTGATTCGATAGATGCTGATAGAGTTGATATCTACCTTGCCGATTGTCAGGATTTCACCACCTTCAAGCAAATTTTGGTTTCAAACTACGATTTTTACAAGAAAGTTCAGCACCAGTCTCTCGAAAATTATGATTTATTCAAATCTTTCAAAAATTTATACTTGACGTTTTTTTACTGGATAGTGTTGTCAGAGCCTCAAAAGCAGTCATTGAAGGATTGGTTCAACGACAACCAATACACTATATCCAAGTGGATCATGTATAAGTACAATAATAATAACAATAACAGTAACCACGCTTCAAACTCTAATAATGACGATGATTATTTTGAAAATTTCAAATTAGAGGTTCTAGAAGACAAGAATATTCCCTGTCAAACTTCTCCTGGAGATTTCGATCTTGGTCTATTGAAGTCTTATTTCGAATATTTCAACACCGACAGATTTAAATTCAATCTCCATTATCTATCTCATAAGCTTCAAAATTTCATCTTTGAAACCTGCCCAATTAAATTTGATCACTACTACGACAAAAGATTTCACGGTTACTATTTGTTCCAATCTACTTCTCCCTTGGAGGTTGTAACAAAAATAAAAAGCAAACTATTAAATTCAAAAAAGATCTCAAAGGAGTTCATTAATTTAAGAAATTTATGGTTTGCCATATACTGGTTAACTTTAAATCGAAAACAAAAAAAGATCTTGAAAAACTGGTTCAAACTAAATGATTTGAAAATCGTCAAGTATTTGTATAATAGCTATGAATATGAAGATATCTTTACTGATTCAGATTTGCCCTTCAATTTGAAATTTGAAATTTTAAAAAACTGGTTGGATTATTTTAACACTCAAAGATTTAAATTTGATGTCTTGTACCTTAAAAATGTTTGCAAAATTGAATTTTCAAAATCTGAATTAAATGATCCTAATACTGCTACTACTTCTACTACTAATATTAATAATAATAATAATAGTAATAATAACAATGTTGATATTTTTGATAGTAAAATGGATGACGAAAACTATTCTGCTGATATCGAATCCACATTTGTTAACTCAATGCCTTCCAGTCCGCTTAATCTAATTACTCAAGAAATCCCAGAAACTTTTTAAAACATAATAATCATTTCCCTTCAATTCTTTTATGACTGCACAATCATTAATTATTTCTTTCATTCTGTTTTTGTTTGTGTAAACATCACATCTTTACTATATATTACACATGACATCAAACCATTCATTGATATTCTTTTTCTTTTATGTTTTAATCAAACACTTTACATTTATTTTATTTTATTTTATTTTTTAAACCATAAATGCATTTACCATACTTTTATGAACTATTAATTAACCTACTATCATTTTTTTAAAAAAAAAACTTTGTTATATAATATTAATGTGATTTACTATTTATTTTAAATTTCAAGTAAAATTAAAATAATTTTTGAGAAAAAAAAACATTCTTTTTTTTAAAAGAATATATTAAATATTAAATATACGAATAGATTTTAATCTGAGAAGTAGCAACAGTTTCTTAAAATACTTAATTAATCAGTCTTCTTTCCAGGTGTTACCACTGGTTTATCAAGAGCTTTATAACTAACTTCTATGCTTGAAATCCAGGATAAAGCTTGCAATAAAACTAATAAAATTAAGAAACCGACAATAAGACCCATGAAAATACCAGTTGAAAAAAATTGGTATTTTTGAAATAAATTTCCATTGTTAATTGTAGAATTGTTTCCTGAAGCCATAGCCATATTATAAATGTCATTGTGAAGAAGTTTAGTGGAATTGATAGAACTGGAAGTCTGTTTTGGTTTATCATTGTTCTCATCACTACCCAAATACTCTTCAATTTCTTCAGATAATAATTCGGAATCTTCTTGATATACTTCATCATCCCAGCCTCTTTTTTGACCTGATAAATCCGGAACACCTTGAACAATAATACCCAAATTATCAACATTAAGCAACTTAGATAATTTTTCAACTGGCTCGTCGCTAATTGAATCCATTTCAATCACATAAACCAATGAATCATGAGCAACCTTTTCAACACTATTCACCTCATTGGAAAATAAGTGACTGGCACATTTGCAGCCCATGTATTTGTAATTCAAATCAACAACATCGTTTTTAGTATAACGAACGTAGTTTGAAATTAAAACCAAACTATTTTTACTGTAATCTCCCAAACTTCTAGCTTTAAAAAACCTGTTTAAAAATGGAAAGCTTTGAGAGTTGATGTCTGAAATCTTTAGATTAGGAAACTTGGCAATTATTAATTTTGAATCAGAATTCAATAAGTAATTGCAAATTGCTTCCTCATTTAATATCGAGTTCAATTGGCTTTCTAAAGCAGAATATTCGATATATTGTGGTAAACTGGAGACAATCTCATCGTTCTTAGCCTCATCAAAATTAGATAGTTTCAATAGAAATGGAGAAGTGTCAACAAAGGCTGAAACAGAGCAAACAAAAAGCCCCAAGACAGATACTAAAACATTTAGAGACCTCATAGTTTGCTGATTATCCAACTGATACTGATGCTGTTGAGGGAGAGAAAGCACTTTAATGAACTGGACAGAAACTGTTCTTTATTCAGCAGCCAAATCCAGCTAGAGCTGCGTCGCATTTGTTGACGCAGCAATTTCCGCATGAGAAAATGCGTTGGAATCTTATTTCAAATTTTGTTTTGGAAAAAAAAAAATTTGGCTTTATCAAAAAAACTATTTTGAAATTTTCAGAGGAGCAAAAGTTGAAACTTATTCCAAAAATATACTATAGATCTAACAGATACACCCAGAATACACAGAAACATAATGCCTGCACCTACTGCCTTGAAGAAAGAATCGAATCCCTTTGAAATACCCTCTCAAAGCCAAACAACACAACAGAAAAATGACAATATTAATATAAATGGCGAGGATGAGATATTGATAGATGTGAATCCTATTGGAGCAGAGGAGGATAAAATACTTTCTGCTGAATCAAAACCCCTCAAGAAATCTTCAAAACATATAATAATTGACGAGTCTGGAAAACCAAGATTTGATTCGACAAGTCAAGTAGCTCAAAAAATTAAAATTGAAAAGAGAGTGATTCATATTCCACCTCATAGAATGACTCCCTTGGAGAGCTGTTGGCCCAAAATCTATACGCCAGTGGTTAATAATCTCAAATTGCAAATTAGAATGAATTTGAAATCAAAAGCTGTGGAGGTCAGAACGTGCAAATTAACAACAGATTTAAGTGCATTACAAAAGGCTTCTGAGTTCATTAAAGCCTTTACTTTGGGATTCGATATTGATGATGCTGTTGCTTTATTAAGATTGGATGATTTGTATATTGAAACTTTTGAAATCAAAGACATTAAAACATTGCATGGTGATCATTTATCCAGAGCCATTGGTAGAATTGCTGGTAAAGATGGAAAAACCAAATTTTCTATAGAAAATGCTACTAGAACCAGAATAGTTTTAGCTGATAATAAAATTCATATGCTTGGTGGTTACAATCATATTAGAATGGCAAGAACTGCAATTGTAAGTTTGATTTTGGGTAAACAACCAGGAAAAGTTTATGGAAATCTTAGAACTGTTGCAGCAAGATTGAAGGAATCTTATTAAGTTTATTAATTTTTGCTTCATTTTTAAGGATTTATATAATATTAAATAATACAATTTGGGAACTATTTCTTTTTTTCTTTCCAAGAATCATTAGAATTTTTCTAGGAATTATTAATATTAAAAAAGTGTTTTTTGCTTAAAAAAAAATTATAAAATTAAATGAAATAGAATATATTACTGAGAAATCCATATTAAATTTGCTTATCCACAAATAATTAGACAAAACCAAAGAAAAAAACGGATAAAAACATTTGAAAAAATATGAAAAAATATAAAAAAATATAAAAAAATATAAAAAAATATAAAAAAATATAAAAAAATATAAAAAGTTATAATAGAAATAAATATTAAAATAATACACAAAGAAATTAAAAAAAAACAAAAAAAAACTTAAATTTTATGTAAAAACTTTTTAATTTCACCACCAACATGTTCAACATCCAACAAAAATGTATCATGACCATACATACTTATATCCTCACCTAATTCTACATATTTAATATTGCTATCATTTAAGTTAGATCTCTGTTGATTTATTTTTAAAACATCAGCTATTTCCTTTTGTTGAAAACTTGGAAATAGGATATCAGATTTTACACCAATTACTAAAGAGTCATGATTGGATATTCCAGATAGCCCGTTTATGATATCTTCTAGACTTTCTTCTTTGGTCAATTCATGGTCTTTTTGACTGTTGATATTTTCTTTGTAGGGTTCAGAAGGGAGGGAACAATTATCATTGTTTTTAAAACCAAGATTATCAAAATCCTGAAAATGATTATTAAATTTAGTGAATAAAATGGAAGATTGGTTTCTTGCTTCTAACGTCTTTAATTTATTTCCTAGACCTAAATCAAACAAATCCATTGCTTTAGAAATATATAACAAAGAATTTGGATCAAATTCCAAACTGAATTTTTCACCTTGATGATCAAGATAAGTTTCCACCAAGAAATCAGGACATAGTGCAGGCTTTAAAGAAGGGTCTAGTCTTGATCTTGCAAATCTTTGTTCCCATTCAGGACCAGATCTATAAGTAATTGTTGCAATTTGCCTTGACAATTTCATTCCAACATGGGGAGGAATTAAATCGTAGTAGAAACCCCTATTCCAATTAGGATCATTCATTAAAACTTGTCTTTGACAAAACCTCATCGCTATTGAATGAGGATGAGATCTTGCACAGCCAGAAATTGAAACAATTTTATTGATTTGCTCAGAATATTCATTTGCGTATGCTAAACATTGCATACCACCCATTGATGCGCCTACAGTAGCATATAGTTTTTTGATTTTGAGATGTCCAGATATTAAACGATTTTGTGCTCTGACCATGTCGGTTATTGAAATTATTGGAAACCTGGTCGCATATCTTTGGCTATCAGAGGGATCAATCGAAGAAGGACCAGTTGATCCATAACATCCTCCTATTACATTTGTGCAAATGATGAAAAAATTATTTGTATCGAGTGGTTTGTTTGGACCAATGAAAGCTTCCCACCATCCAGGTTTTAAATTTTTCGCTTGTGATTTGGCATGGGAAGAAGCAGATAAACCTGTGTGCAATAATATAGCATTGGACTTATCAGAATTCAACTTTCCCCAAGTTTCGTAGGCTATATTAAACTCAGGCAAATATCCCCCATAGTCCAAAAATAACGGCTTCTCTGATCGATACATTTCAAAACCAGACTGTACTCTAGCATATACAGGCTCGGGTCCTTCATCAACCAACGACTTTGATTTTTTATCCAATTTATCTAAACAGGGAAAGTGCATTGGAGGATTTGATGACATATTCAAGTCGTTTTTTTGTATGGGTTGGTACTTTAAACCGGCCTGATATTTTAAAGGGTTCTTTGAAATTTTAGATAGTACTGATGTTATTGTATGAAAACATTGCTTTCGTTGGCTCAGTAGCAAGATAGACTTCATTTCTTCGCACGAATCTCTTAGAATCGACTTCTCAACTAGAAGAATACAAAACAAAACAGCAACAACTGGATATTTGACCAGAAATGCCAAAGCAAGAGCTAGCAGCAACAAAACCCCATTGTTTCCATCTCCCAAACTCCATTCATCTCCATTATCACTCCAACTACAAAAACAGTGTTAGATGTGTAACCTTCACATACAATTTCGACATAGCACGTGGTGAAACTGCTATTTTGAGCAAAACCGTCATGGTGGTTTGAGTTTTGTAACGCATGTGCAACATGCATGTGCAACATGCATAATCCGCATTTGATGGAGCGAGATGCATGTGGTGCAAAAGCTCCAGCTGATATTTCCTTTGTTTGATAATGATACATGAAACCAAAGAAATAAATTAAATAAATAAAACAAAAAAAAACTAAACACATAAAATATTTTATAGAAACAGAATCTTATTGATATAATGGGCCGAAGTCCTAAGGCTGAAAATCAACCACTAGGATTGGTTTGGTCGTAGTTGTCGCCATTCCAACCACCATAGTTTCCACCACTAGAACCTGCTGAGGTGTCGTTTGTCTGTTCCCAATCACTGGTTTTCCATTGGTTTGCATTGGTGTGGTTTTCACTGTTAGGATTCCATACCGAAGCACCACCATATGATGTTCCAGAACCATTTCCTCCAGTGTTAGAACTAGTACCATATCCACTTTTCCCGCCATATGCTGTTCTATTTCCGTACGCTGTTGATCCACCATAAGATGTTGTTCCTCCATAGGAAGTTGCTCCTCCATAAGATGTGGCTCCACCGTAAGATGTTGCTCCACCATAGGCAGTTCCACCACCATAAGCAGTTCTACCACCACCATAAGCGGTTCCACCGCCGGTGCCCCAGGCGCTCTGTCCACCATGAACTGTTCTGCCACCACCATAGGCTGTTTTTCCACCTCCATAGGCAGTTCTACCACCTCCATATGCGGTAGCACCTCCATAAGATGTTGAATTGCCACCAGAAGACCAACTGTTGATAGAAGAATAAGCTGGATCCCTGCTTCCACCATATAAAGTTTTGTTTCCTCCAGTCCACAGCGGAGTTTTACCTGCACCATATTGAGATCTAGCACCATTCCATGAGGGTGTTCTATTATCTTTTAACCCATCAGCTGCACCACCGGTATAATACGTATCTGAAACCTTTCCTAAATTTGGAGCCGCAATAAAATGCTCATATGGCATCGTTCTACCATCTTTCCCAAAGAACGATAATTTGCTTTTATCAATGGAAATGATCTTATTAGACGAATGAAGTTCTACTCTGGCAATATCACCGTCAGCATCTTTAATAATACCTTGTATACCTTTCTTAGGTCCCTTTCTAATTATTACTCTTTGATTGATGGTTCTATCACGTCCAAATGTTCTAGAAACAGGAGGCCCCATAGATTTTATTGCATCGGAGCCACCGATTTGTCTGTTTGGATTCATTTTTGCTAAATCTCTATTAGCAGTAAAAATAGTGGATAAAGCACCCTTTGTGGAAATTGTTGTAACATTTGCACAATTCGTTACAAATATCCCAGAATTTTCTGTAATTGATCTGGATTTTAAAAACAAGATGCTTTTATATATATGCTCAATTGTACCATCTCTTCTCTCGCCGGATGATTCTCTGACTTTATCGCCAATTTTAATTTCCAAGCCATTTTGATCAGTACTTGTTTGAATTCGTTTGTTTTGATTAATCTTCAAAGCAATTGAAGAAGGTGCAATATTAACAATTCTGCCATCCTGGCATAAAATACTTAAAACCTCTCTATCAGCTTTTACAATAATACCAACAGTTCTGTTATTCAATTGAACCAAGTCATGCAACTCAAATTCACCAACACGATTCAATCCTAAAGAGTCAGTAGAGGTCATCAAATAATTTGCAAAAACAGTAACATCTTTTTGAGATTGGTCAGAAATCAATGTGACTTGATCATTATCAATAGTGATAACCAAACCTGTATCATCAATATGTTTACCATAAATGACTCTTACATGGTCACCGATAACAAACATTTTTCTCAAATCAGTGGCAGGAATTTCTGTTAGTTTTCCCTCTTGCAATATTTGATTATTTTTATCTTTCTCAAGTTTAACAGAAATAATATCGCTCTTTTCGGAATTTGTAACAATTGCTGTTAAACCTGTTAATTCACCTTTAACAATTTGAACTCTGTCACCAGGTTGAAAAGAAGTTGATGATTCAGATGTCTTTTTTAAAGTTTGTGCAATTGAGGATAAATCAATTTCACCGCTATTTGCACTGAATCTCGTTAATTCATCCAAAGTTGGTTGAACATCTTTTGTTTGCAAAAATTGGATTTTGAAATCCTTAATGAGAAAACCTTCAACATATATATTTCCTCTATAGTTGAATTGGTTTTGACCAGTTCTAACGGGTGGATATTTTTCATCAAATTCTTTTGCGTCTCTTTCGGAAAATAATCTAGGTAAAGGTCTATTCTTAGAGTCAAAAGCTCTTTTCTTTTTACCATCAGCATCAGTAGATTGTTGATTTCGTCCATAATCTAATCTTGGGACTACTTTTAACCTGGCCTCTAAACCATTTTCACTAATATCCTCTACAATAGCAAGATCATTTTTGTATTTTCCTCTTGTTATTCTGACATATAATCCTGGTTTTACTTCAACATCAGTACTTCTGACAGCTCTTAATAAATCAGGGAATTCTTTGACTGGAACTAATAACTTTGGTTGACTTGTAAAAACATTCACTAAACCTTTCAAGGCATAGTCTACAGCCTCAGGCCTTCTTGCTTCAATATAAATATAACCGGCAAAATTATCTCTTTGGAAAGCGGTATAGATATCCAAAGGACGAGCTGTAGATTGTAAATTTAATTTTTTCTGTAATATTAATCTAATAAGCTCTTTTTCTTTTCCTTGACGACATTTTATTGCCCAAATGTTAGGATCGTCAACAGAAGGCAACAATAACCTTTGAGAAATTGTTCCTTGTTCTCCTTGATAAGCACTAGAGGACATACGGCCATATTTGGCTTTATACTCCTCTGCTAATCTTTCAGCATCATCCTCTTGTACTTGATCACGACGAAGATCGTATTCTCTATGAATATTGTCATTCAACTTGTTATAGTCTGAACCTATTACAGTAGGATCATCATCTTCGTTGGCAATGAATTCTTCTCGAAACCTCTCTGCTTCTTCTTCATCTTCCTCCTCTTCCTCGTCACTGACTTCTGCTTCCACATCAAGATATTGGTTTGCAGCAGTACGACGTTTCTTTTTGGGTCTGGAGCCGCCCTCGTAGTCATCTTCATCCTCTTCGTCATTGTCGTCGTCGTCGTCGTCATCGTCACGGTATGATCTTCTTGGTTTCAAGTCTTCGTTTTCGGAAGCTTCTTCGTCTTGGTCATCATCATCAAAAGTAGCAGGTTTACGGTCATCCATCTGCCCTGGTTTTATTTCACTATCAGAACTACTCATTTTGAACAAGGATAGCTTTCAAAAACAGTTGGAAAATAACAATTGAAAAAGCAAAAGTAAATCAGAAATAAACAGGGAATGTTACTGTATACCTAAGCAGTTGAATAATTGAAAATTACACTGATAAAATACATGATGAAAAGAACATAAAGCAGGTAAATCATCTAGAAAGAAAATGAACAATTCTAATGGCGAAAGTGAGGAAAAAAGCCAGTCATGTGCTTTTGGTCACGTTATTCGTTGGCGAAAATCGCAACAATTTTTCTTGATTTTTTTTCAGTGTGAAAAATGTACTGAAAGAGGAATCTTTAAATTAATAGCTGATATAAATACACATTTCATTGCTCAAGATGTCAACGGATATGTAAGTTTTGTTTATTTAGAGAGTGGGAGACATTTCGAACAGAACAGGATAACTAACCATTCGATATGCACAAAAGTAAGTGGGCAGATGCTGAAGACGAACTACCAAGCCCAGAAGTAATAAAAAATCCAGATGGAACCAAGACTGTTATATCGTATCGTTACAATGACCAAAACAAGAAGGTCAAAATAACACAGAAAATCAAAGATGTGGTCATTAAGGAACATGTCCATCCTTTGGTGGCAGAAAGAAAAAAATGGGCCAAGTATGGTGAAGAAAAAGGAAATCCCGTGGGTCCTGATATCAGAACTACTCAATTAGGTGAACCAGTGAATTTAATATTGTCTTCTTCATGGAGAGAGGCTGAAAAGGAAGAAGAGAAGAAAGCTCAAGAAAATCCTGCTGGCAAGAAAGCCCAAAGAATTGTTTGTAGACTTTGTAAAGGTGATCATTTTACAACCAAATGTCCTTTCAAAGAAACCATGGGTGCACCAGAATCAATTGAAGGCAACAATGCAGAGCCTCTTAATCCCCAATCTCCTGAAACCTCTGCTGAGAAAACAGCCAAGGGAGGATATGTCCCACCACATCTTAGAAAACGTAATAAAGATGGTAGTCCAGCTACCCCATCTCTTGGTTCAGGCTCAAGATATGGTGAAAGAGACGACTCAACCACATTGCGTGTTAGTCAATTGAATGAAATTGTCACAGATATTATGATAAAGAATGAATTGTTTGCCAACCATGGCCCATTGACCAGGGTTACTTTGGTCAAGAATAAAGAGACCGGAAAATCTAAGGGATTGGCTTATGTTGCTTTCCCAACTGTTGAAGCAGCTCAAAGGGCAATGGAAGATTTGGATGGAAGAGGTTACCACTCATTGATTCTCCACATCGAGTTCTCCAAACCAAGAAAATAAAACTACCAAAAGATGCGTTCTATGTTACTGTATAGGCTGTATTTTTTTTTACGATTTACCATAGCTTTATTTATTTGTTTAGTTTAGGGATTAAATGAGTTGTATTTTGTTCAAGTAGTGAATCAGGAAGAATCAGAAGCAAGCATTGAGCCAGTCTTGGAGTTGATCAGTAAAGATTTGATAAAATGATAGCTTTATCTCAGATGTGCCACGAAATACGCTTGTGATAACAGCACTGACACCAGTGGAACGGGTGCTGAAAAATATTTGGAGAGATATTGAGGGTGTTCTTTTTGGGCTATTGTTATTGTATTTCTGGTTTTAATGTTTGTAGCGAGTTATCCATATGCTTGAGTATATCTATCGTATATATTTCATAACAGTGGTTAAAATTGCAAGTTCTTGTATATCCGATGATTCTTTGAAGCATGTCTCTTGGGCAAAATTATAATGACAAAAATGAGTTTTCCGATAACGATTATGGCATTTTGAGTGATGATGAAAAGGATTTTGTTAATCCAGAGGAGCGAGAACGATTATTGAAAATGAAAGAAGAAGCAATGCGATTATTAAATTATGCAAATGAAAGACTACAGTCTCCTCTGAAAACTAAAAAGAGAAATTTTAATAATTCAATTGGGGAAACTAAGCAAGCAAATAAATTTTGTACCGATGAAAAGACCAATAATAACAATAATAATAACGGTAACGATAAGAATACCAAAGCTATCAACGATAAGTACAGATTGAAAAGAAAAGCGCATAAGATTGAAAAATCTCAAATTGCAGTAAAATTACAACAAAGTGGGATATTGGAAAAGGAAGAAAAAAAGAACAAAGCAGAATTTTTAAAACAGAGAGTGTTTACCTTTATCGATCAACAAACAGATATATGTGTCCAAACAAACTCTGTGGTTAATGAAAAAGACAAGTATTCGGGGTCATATTTGTCTTTAAGATACTTGGGATCTGATGCAATTGACAAAATGTTGGGAAACAAAGCAATATTAAGAATTGATAAACTATTTGGAAAAGTGCATTATCCGGATTTTAAAGAGCCCAATTATCCAAACTGGGTTGTTGTTGGTATAATTTCGAATAAAGCCGAATTGAAAATTGCTAGTAATAATAAAAAGTATTTAAAAATCAGTTTGACTGATTTCAATTTGGTTTTGAATTTAATGTTATTTGATGACGCATGCCAAAAATACTGGAAATTAAAAGTTGGGGATATTATTGGAGTGTTAAATCCCAAAATTTCTCCGTGGGTTGATAATAGCAAGAAAGTTAAAACATTTAATTTAGTTTTAAATTCGAAATATGACTCAATATTAGAGATTGGGAAATCAAGAGATTTTGGAATTTGTATTTTTTCCAATAATAAAACAGGAATCAAATGCAATGCTCCAGTAAACAAATCAAGAACCCAGTATTGTTATTTTCATCAAGACTATAAAATGCAAAAATCCTCTTCAAAGAGACTAGAATTGAGTGGTGCTATGGGGACAGGTGCGCCAATTGCAAGCAGAAACAATGACGGAAAACAAATTTTAATGAATAGGAACTACCATACTAATAATGAAAAAAGTTATGGGTTGAAATTAGTCGATGACCCATTTGCTAAAGAGAAGGTAATGAATGGAGACGAGGGAAACAATAGGTTGTATTTCAGCAATTCTCACGCAAAAAAGGCATTTTTTGACGATGAATATTCTAACCCAGAGGTTTTGAAAAAACTAGCTGCCAAAAAACAAATCCAAAAGAATAAAAACAAAGAATTGGAATTGAGAAACAAGTTGGTTCAAATCAAAGGAGGCGAAAGTTTGAGAAATTTGTATGAAACAGAAAATGAGAAATTGGAGAAAAAAAAAGTAATGAATGTTGCATTTTCGCCGAGGACATTGTCGCGATTGGGATTTGATCCAACAAAAAACGCCTATGACTCGTCAATTGGCTCCAGCGACGCTATTACGTTGAATGCCAAAGAAAGCTTTGAATTGCTCGAGAGCGTCAGAAAAAAGCGAAGAAAAATATACTTGTCGCCCTCAAAGAAAGCTGTCATCGAACGCAAAAACCAACAAGAAGTGATCTACCAAAAAAGCCAGGCGTACATCAAGGGAACCATTAAAAGCAAAGAATCCAATCCCCAGAGAAGCACAGGGTCTCAAGACTCCAGAGGAACGAGCAGGCTACTCTTGCGATTCCAAAATGCTGCCCCCAGCTCAGACTCTTCGTCAGACAGTGAGCTCGATATCGACTTTGGAGAAAAGACTCAGAAATCTCCCCACAGCTACTTGGGGAAGCCGGCCCGGTGAAACGGCGTCGCGTGTCAGCTGACCTCCTTTCCAGCAAAAACAAAGCTGGAGAAGCTTCTTCAGAAGCTGTTTTGGAAGCAGAAGACGACAATCTCCAACTGACTGAACATGGCTAGTAAGTGTTTTCCTTATGTTATTTTCCAGCCGTGACTGCCTACTAACCAGTGTCATACTTGTTTGCTTCAAGAATCCAAATCCAAAACAACCATTATCAAGTTGATTTCTGCAGCCGGTACTGGCTTTACAAGATACGTTGTTAGACCCAGAGGTTCTCCAGTCTTTCACCAAATAAGATACGATCCTTTTGTTAGAAGACATGTATTGTTTACTGAAGCCAAGAGGAGAAAGGGTGTTGAAACTGTTACTTTGGACTTCAAAAGAAGACCCACCATTTTCAACTGATTGGTTCCGTTTTATCTCTTGACGGTATTAGGAGTTTTCGTTGTATATATATGTAATCTACTCGTTATTCTGTTTGAATATCCATCAAATAAATATCAAATAAATATCTAATGGAAAGTTAATGGAAAGCTAATTGTCGAACGAGCTGCACCCAATCATTTGTAGAAGATTAACTGATCAGTCCTAATCATTTTCCACTTTTTCGGAAATGCAAAGGTTTTTGGCCCTTGCGCATTTTTTTGCTGATCCCATTTATTTACTTTTTCATCAAGCTTTTGTTTATGTTGACTGGCAATTATGTTGACGTTTTTCTTTATTTATAACAAAAAATAGAATAACATCATATAGAATTAAAGCGAAAACCAAATTGCCTAATCACAAAAATGAGCTCAAGACAAAACAAGAAAACCACCTCAATAACAGACTTTTTCCTGAAGATTCAACCACCAAAGCCTAAAAACGTCGTGAAAAAAAATAATAAAGAAAACGTTATCAATCGGTCACTGAATAAATCAACTAATCAAAAAAATAATAAAACAGGTGTTGGAAATTTCTTTTTTTCCTCAAATTCTACGCTTTCCAATGGTGGTATAAACAACAATAACCAAAATTTAAAACGAAAATCAAATCAATTAACTTTGTCTAGCCTTAATGTTAAGAAAATTAAACCCTCATTTGATAAAGAATCATGGGTCAATTCTTTAACTCCTCAACAAAAAGAATTACTAGAACTAGAAATAAATACAATTGAATTATCTTGGTTGGAATTGCTACATAAAGAATTTACAAAATCTTATTTTCTAACATTAAAACGTTTCTTAAACTCAGAATATCGCTCAGGTAAAATTGTCTTTCCACCCAAAAATGACATTTACTCTTGGACAAGATTAACACCACTATCGGAAGTTAAAGTACTAATTCTTGGTCAAGATCCTTATCATAATTTCAACCAAGCCCATGGTTTAGCATTCTCTGTCAAAAAACCAACTCTTCCACCTCCTTCATTAAAAAATATGTACAAATGTCTTCAAATAGACTACCCAAATTTTGTTATCCCATCAGGTTCAAACTTAACTGGCGATCTAACCCCATGGGCTAATCAAGGTGTTCTAATGTTAAATACCTGCTTGACTGTTAGAGCTCATATGGCAAATTCGCATTCCAAAAAAGGCTGGGAAATGTTCACAGAAACTGTAATCAAAAACTTATTGCATTATAAAAACCAATTTGAAAATCAAGGTATTGTTATATTGGCTTGGGGCTCTCCTGCTCAAAAGAGAATTGAAGGCATTGGTTTCAAAAGGATCAATTCAAATAACCAAAATTTACTACTAAAATCTGTTCACCCAAGTCCTTTAAGTGCTGCAAGAGGTTTTTTTACCTGTAAACATTTCAAACTATGCAATGATTGGCTATCTCTGCACTCTGATGAAGGAAAAATAATCGATTGGGCTTTGGTTCCTGGAAATACTTTAATCACCAAACTTCCCGAAATGGAAAAGAAACAAGAAAATCTAGAAAAAGAAGAAGAAAAGAAAATGGAAAAAGAAAACAATATTGGAAAAAAGGATGAAATTAAAGATGATAGCGAAAATAGTAAAAATACTTTTCCAATTGAAAACAACTCTGAAGAGAACCCTGAAAAGGATGGTAAAATTACCAATTTGAAAGAAGCTGCTGTGGAAACAAGCAGTGAAATCGGACATGAGAAGACAAAAAACCCTTCTGCTCCCAATCAATAAACAATCATTTTTATATACTCAATATTATACCAACTTAAGACAATGTTAAATTATATTTTATGCCTTCTCAATAAAAACTTAAATCAAATCACCATTACTGCAAATCGCTGCATGAAAACGCACTATCTTTGATTCCACATTGATGGATTATCTCGATATTTATTTTTCGTATTTTAAACGATGCCTTCTGTTTTACGAAAAATATAAATACTGAAATTATCATTCCTATCAAACTGCACTAAATACTTTTGTGTGCTATTGTGGTAAATTCATCCAAAGCAAATGGTGTACTACTCTGAGCAAATCAACCTTCAAGGAACTGATCCTACCAGATGGAGATTGCGAGTTGATGATTTGGGTGCCCAAAGATGGTATTATCTTTCAGAGGAAGAATCTGTCAAAGAACCCCAAACTGACTATGTGAAATATTTATTAAATGTCGAATCTTTTCAAAGGCACCAGTTATATAAATCAGAGGAACAAAGATCTAAAAGAACTCCTTTTCAGGCTGCAATTGATGGTGCTAATTTTTTTAAATTGTTACAGGATCCCTCTGGTGTCTTTCCAACTCAATATAAAGGGCCGATGTTTATGAGCATTGGTTACATTGCTGTTAGCTACTTCACAAAATCTGTTATCCCTGAGGCTACAAGGCTTGAGTTAATCAGATATATTGTTAATTGTGCACATCCTGTTGATGGTGGTTGGGGACTACATAACTCAGATAAATCGACTTGTTTCGGCACAACCTTGAATTATATCTCATTAAGATTGCTAGGATTGCCTTCTGACCATCCAAGTTGTGTCAAAGCAAGAAATACTTTGTTAAGACTTGGTGGTGCTGTTAGAAATCCTCATTGGGGGAAAGCGTGGTTATCACTTTTGAATTTATATAAATGGGAAGGTGTCAATCCAGCTCCACCTGAATTATGGCTAATGCCCTATGATTACAATCCACTACATCCTGGAAAATGGTGGGTTCACACTAGAGCAATTTACTTGCCATTAAGTTATCTTTCCACTAATAAAATCCAGTGTGCTTTGGATCCTTTGCTAATAGATATCAGATCAGAAATATATAACAAAGATTATGACAAAATCGACTTTTCCAAACAAAGAAATAATGTTTGTGGTGTGGATTTATATTATCCTCATAGTAAAGTGCTAGATGTAATGAACAGTTACATTGTCTTTTATGAAAAATTTTTAAGACCTAAAGCACTTTTATCCTGTTCCAATAAACGTGTATACGATCTAATCAAGAAAGAAATCAAAAATACTGGTGATTTATGTATTGCTCCTGTCTCTTTTAGTTTCAATGCAATTGTTCTATATCTTGAAGAAGGAAAAAATTCAAGGGCCTTTCAAAACTTTTATAACGGGTTTATTGATATATTATCACTTGGTCCTTTAGGAATGACTGTCACTGGAACTAATGGATCTCAAGTGTGGGACTCTTCCTTTTTTGTGCAGTATCTTTTACAAGCAGGCTTTGGAGATTATCCCGAGTTTCATGAAATAATTTTAAAATCATATAAATTTCTTATCAGATCACAATTTACTGAAGATTGTGTTCAAGGTTCATTTAGAGATCCTAGGAAGGGAGCATGGCCATTTTCTACAAAAACGCAAGGTTATACAGTCAGTGATTGTACCGCTGAAGCTTTAAAAGCAATTATTATGGTCAGAAATCATCCAAATTTTCAACAATATAAAAGTCTTATTAAAGATGAAGAATTATATCCAGCTATTGATGTTTTATTATCTTTGCAAAATTTGGGAGATCATGAATATGGTTCATTTTCAACATATGAAAAAATAAGAGCACCTTTGTTACTAGAAAAACTAAATCCTGCTGAAATATTTAATAACATAATGGTTGAATATCCCTATGTTGAATGCACAGACTCTTCAGTTCTCGGTTTAACTTATTTTAGAAGATATTTTGATTATCGCAAAAAAGATATTGATTTTGCAATTGAGCAAGCAATAAATTATATTGTTAATGCTCAACTTCCTGATGGTAGTTGGTATGGCTGCTGGGGGATATGTTTTACTTATGCAGGTATGTTTGCTTTGGAAGCTTTATCCACAATAAATAAAAATTATGCTAATGATGAAACAGTTAAAAAAGGTTGTGATTTTTTTATTTCCAAACAACGTGAAGATGGTGGTTGGTCTGAGACTATGAAAAGTTCTGAAACTCACACATATATTGAAGATAATAAAAGTTTAGTTGTTCAAACTGCGTGGTGTGTAATTGGTTTGTTACTAGCAGGTTATCCAGATATTGAGCCTATCAAGAGAGGTATCAAGTTAATAATGGATTTACAATTGAATAGTGGTGAGTGGCTTTTTGATGGGATAGAAGGTGTTTTCAATCATTCTTGTGGTATTGAATATCCTAACTACAAATTTTTATTTCCAATCAAGGCTCTTGGACTTTTTAAAAATAGATATGGTGATCTTCCTTTAAGTTCTTTATAAATCTATATTTCCCTATATTTTCTTATATATTATTATACTTATATTCCAAATTCTTTCTCTAAAATCTAAAAAATAATGTCATCGCTACTTGTAGTTATAGAATTAAAATCTGTGTGATTTTCTAACTGGGTAGCAATTTCTTTGGATTTGGATTTTTTAAAAAATGGTAAGTCAAAAGAATTCGTATTTTGAAGAAATTTCTTTTCATCGCCATTATCTTGTTTAAATTCCTGAGTTACTACTGCCTCTGAAAAAACTGAATTATAATGAGTTTTTTGGTGACAGAAATGAGAAGAATCCATACTAAAAACAATGTCATCATTTGATATCTCAGATATTTTTGTATTTTTTTTGTTTTCCAATGTATTGTTAATAGCATTGATTGATGAATCAAATAAGTTTATATCAGGTTCAGAATTCAATGTTTGACAGAAAGTACTAAAAATCTGTTCAGAATCAGAAGAATCATCTAAATCTTGATGGTTTTGAAGAATTTCCACATCTTCAATTATGTTGGCTATTTTACTTTTTATCTCAAAGTTATTATTGTTCATTTCAATCGAATTGCATACAAAATCGTGCTCAGCTTTAAAAAATATATCTTCATCCAACTTTGCTTGTAAATTAGTATTATTTAGATTAATAGCTACTTTATTTTGATGGCGGTTATCAGGATTGGAATTGATGCTTTTTATGTTCTTAACAGCATTATCAAAATCATCAGCGTTTATTTCTTTAATTTTTTCATACTCGCTAGAAGAAAGGTTAAATAGTGCCATTACGTTTTTAAAATTAATATTATGAGATTCAAACAATGTTCTAGCTGATGGATTCTTGAGATTGATTTTTTTCATTTGGAATAAGCGCTGGTGATTTATAGTTGGTTAAGCAAATTTGAGTGCGAAAATGATAACCAAAGCATATTACTTTTCATAAGAATTTCGGTTGTTCTTTTAATGTATATTGATCAAATGTTAAAAATGAATATATTATTTATAAAATATTAAATATAATGAATAAAAGAGTTATGATATTAAAAGAACACAAGTTAAGTGAAGTAAAATATACAAATCCCAGCAGAGATTTTAGTTTTTATAATTAATTATTTACCAGATTTAACTGATTAGTTATTATCGAGTTTATATTTGAAATCATTAGCAATAACGTTTTCATCAACTAAGGGTTTAGCTTTTTTAAAGTCAAAGCTTTCAGCAGAAGTGGTAACTGATTCAATGGGAGAACTTGCAGCATCATTAGCGTATAGACTATAGTCACTATAGAATGCAGAGCAATCGAAATCCCAAGTAGATACTAATTTTGATTTCTGGCATAAAGACTTGGTCCATGGTTCAGCATAAATCAAAGGAGAGTAGTTGTAAAAGAAGAGCCCTGATAATCCAAAAAAGGTAGCCAAAATTGCATAAGACACATATCGGCGGTTAGCAAAAACAAATGAAACAAAAATATCAAAAAAGTGGGCTAATGCTAGGATTCCAAAATACAAAGATGGGATATAATGATGCAAAAACAATTGACGAGTCATCAAAAACGATGGGAAGAAATGAATACCCCAACCGATGATAAAGTGAATCATTTGAATTGTCCAGTTGAAAACATGAGCGTCTGTACAAACAGGCTTTCCTCTTTGCCAGTTGAGAATGTTGGCTGCAAGGTTGCAACAAAAGAAAAAAATAGCAGCAGAAGCAGACCACCAAATAACAGCGTTACCCAAAAGATAAACTTGAGTGTGGTTGTGAACCCAGTAGTTGATACCACGAGTTAAAAATGGCCATGAGTGTGGTCTTGATTCCCAATTATGAGGAGAATTCAAACCATTGTTGATATGCCATGCTCTCTTGTGGTGCTCGATGAATTTCCCTAAAAATGATGGTTTTTTATAGGAGACGGTTTCGGCGTCTTTTGGAAGAAATTCGTTTTCATTAGTTTCAATATACCAGTAAGATTTAGGAACAACACCTTGAGTGGCACATGTAACTTCTTGTTGTTCAAAACCCCATTTGGGTAACTTGACTTCATGGGAAAATAAGTAGCAGCCAGTCATAGCATGACGCAATCTGAAAACAGTTTCTAAAGCTCTAACTTCTTGACGAGCATTTGGCTTTGATTTTTGTTGAACAATTTCAACAATAAAATCATCATTTGCATCACCGGCAAAGCCTGCGTAGCCATAGGCAGAAACTTCTTTTTGGTAATCTTGTTCGCTGACTGGTGCTTTATGATCATGAGAATGTAAACGACGTTGAGTCAACTTGTGCTTTAAACGGATTTTAGTACGATCCTTAATTTGTTCAAAGGAAGTTGGAACTTCAGTAACATTGTACAATTCAACTAGCCAGTGGTTATTTGAATCCAAATGAGGGTATAAAGTAATTTGTTGTTGTTTTGAACCAGTTTCATATAAATGGTCATGGGAGTGTAAATAACCACCCTGAGTGGCAATATGACGAATTGTAACCAAAGAGCCAACACCAACCTGTGCTTTTGTAGTTTTGGGGATGGTGTTACCAGATAAAGTAGATCTAAAAGCAGAAGACATAAAAGCAGAACCATCACCTTCATTTGGTAATAATTGGAAGTGAATGGAGAAAAAAAATAGATATAGGATTAATGGAATACCAAGTAAAATAAAGCCTCTAGAAATAAAATGGAAAAATATTTTTTTTGTTGAAACATTTAAATCGCCAATAATGAACCATAATTGCCAAATCATAAGAATACCAACCCATCCAATAGTGAACAAACCAACCCATTTTGAACTTACAGAAAAACCAAGACCAACTCCTGCTATTACCAAGGATCTGAACCATTCAAATGAAAAGGGAGTTTGAATTTCAAACTTTTTGATTGAATAAACAGATGAAGCAATGAAGAACAACAAAGGAGAATCAAGAAGAATATATCTAGAAATAGTCACATTGGAGTTTTCAATTGCCAATAAAGCAGCAGCAAAAAAAGAAGTGATAACTCTACAACCTGTTGCTCTTAAAGTTAAATAACAATAAAGGACAGTTCCAACACCAAGAAGAGCAGGAAATGCACGCATCATTAAATAGGGAGTGGTTTCAGGGTATACATCACCAATATTTTTGAATGGGAAATCTCCTTTAAAACCAAATATATATCCAATTGCAGCAAACAACATTTTTGCTAAGGGGGGATGAACATCCATGAAGTATTTTCCATTAATGTACTTGGAAGCAAACCCACCAAAATGAACTTCATCAAAGACAACTGAGTTTGGTTTTGACAATGCATGGAATCGAATTAGAATTGTAAAAAACAATAGCACAGCGATAAGAAGTTTTTCCTTTGGATTTACCACAGATCTTTTTCGAATCAAATCCTCAGATGGAGATGTCACAACAAAAGGACGAGAAACACCATCCTTTATTATGAATTCTGTTATGGGATCGCATGGATCAACTGTTTTTGGTTGTGGTTTAGATGGAATATCAAGATCTATTATAGAACTGGAAGCAGAGGTGGAGTTAAAGTTAGCATTCGACCTTTTAGAGGACAATTTTGAAGACTTTTTAGAGCTTTTTTTAGCCATTATGTAGTAGAGCCTCTGGAAGAGCGTATTGTGAATGGTGCAACAACTAAAACAACCAATTGGCAAACAAAGGTATCTGGATGAGACTGAGCTGCTAGAGAAAGAGGTTGAGATGGATTTTGGAAATTTCAAATTCGCTCCACGTCAACTTCTTTCTGCTTATGTAAGCGGTGTGTGTTATAAAGAGCAGATCAGATCAGAGCTGGTATTGGTTAAGATTGTTGTATTTAAATCAAAAAAAAAAGAACTATACACTATAGATTGATAAAAAGTAATTGCTTCGACGATAAAGGCGTATGTGTTTTGTTTAATCGCGCTTCCAACGAACATCACCTTGTTGTCTGGCATAGTAGATACCACCAACAGCGATATTGGTGTTCCATTGATCAATAACCGAACATAAAGCAGTGGACAATGCAATTTCTCTGGAGATTTTGGTTTCATCGACCTTCAAAGTCCATCCAAACGACCCAGAGGTCGAGCCAGGCACAGTAACTTCAGCAATTCTCTCACGAACCTCCGATTCCTTTTCAGCCATGTTTTTAACTCTTTCCAAATACTTTCCAGAGGTTGTCCATTGATAAGTGTAGCCATCTGCCAAAGTGAAAATACGATAACTATCAATGGCATCGACTCTATGGTTGATAACATGCCAGCCAAGCTCAGAAGCTGGTAACCCACAAGCTGATTTAATTAATAGGACATTTGATCTCAAACCTGCTCTGACTGCAGCCATTGGCTCGTCTTCTCCATCAGGACCTGTGTTTCTTATATCTGATGAATACATCTTATAAGCACCTTTAACTGCTCTTGACCTGACAAACCAGTACAATCTCTTTTCTGAATCTGATGGACCATAGGCAGTTGAGTCCTCTGCTTTTGTATCATAAACATCAAGAACTTTTGAGCCAGTTCCAAATCTCTTTTTGACAACAAAAATACTTAAATCTTCATCTTTTGGTAATTCAATGATTCTTGGAATATAACGAGACGACTTTCTGTGAGGATGAAACAACACAGCTTTAGCGCAGACAAGTGGTCTCATAACAGGACTTAAAACTAGTTCGACTGGCATCTTGAATAAAAATTAATATTATAGGCTTAACAGTGGCAATAAGAAAATTATCTTTAAAAATTTGCAATTGAATTAAAATAATTAGCTAAAGTTTGTTGGTGATAAAAGAGAGAAAGAAGAAAGAAAGAAAGAAAGATAAAGAAATAAAAAAACACTCAAATACCAAAGGGATCAGATATTTTTTTGTCTAAACTTTGAAGTTTCTGTGAACTATTAAAATGGTTTTTGTGCAACATCATTGAAAAACCTTTTTTTTTCTGTTGTTGTTTTTGCTGTTTTTGCTTCTTGAACACAGAAAAAAAGATTTGTCAATGGGGAGGGAGCTGCAGACGTATGTAAACCAAACTGATGGAAGTATAAATGAAGCAAGTGATGAGGTGGGTGATTCATGAAATCAGGATTATTATCGATAAAATAGCACTGGTTTTGATTGATATGTATTGATTGGTGATTCAATCGAGATAAACTTTTGGATATTGGAGGAAGTTGAAATGAGAAAAAAAGATATTTTTGATTGTTAGGAATTTGCTTTGGTTATAGTTCGGGTGTTAATAAAAGTGATAATGGTGGTGGTGATGATGATGGTAATGATAATGAATGATACAATAATTGCATGATAATAATGGTCAATGTCTTTACTTATAAACGAAAACAAAAAATGCTATTTCAATTAAAAGTAATCATAAAATAAAAGAACTTGATTTTGAATAGTGAAATTTAAACCAGAATAAGGAAAAAAAACATAAAAAGAAGTGAAAAAAAAATAGACTAAACGAAACAAAACAAAACAAAACAAAATCAAACAAAACAAAATAAAATAAAATCAAACAAATTTAGTGAGTAAAGTAAAGTTAAATAATTAAATAATTAAGCCAGATTGAAATAAATAATTTAAAAGTAATACATCGTAACATAATAATAATTAAAAAATATTTCTCTTTGACAAATTATCAAATCTTGAATAAGTGTAACCAACAAATGGTAAATCCACAGTGTCGATATCATTTGCATTTAAACTATCATCAGTTATTTGAATATCACTAACGTCGAAATACCTAGTATCAGTTACTGACTTTATATCAGGTACAAAAGGTGGGATAATTTGTTTTAAAGAATTCCAATCAACGCCCCTGAAAAATGGGTGGTTTTTAATCTCTGCAGCGCCATTGAACCTGCCAATTCTTTTGTCAGAATCAGTTAGTAATCTTTTAATCAAATCTTCGGCTTCTGTAGATAAATGGATATGTTCTGGAATATAGAAATAATGTTGCCAGTAAAGAATTTTTTTACAAGTATCTTCATTAGTTTCAGCCCAAAAGGGAGGACAACCTATTAAACATTCATACATAATAGCACCTAAAGACCACCAATCACACTCGGGACCATAACCTCTGTTTAAGAAGATTTCTGGAGCGATATAGTTTGGGGTACCAACTCTTGAATAAGCTAATAATCTTCTTGATTTTCTCCAAGTTTGCATTTTTTCTTCATCATTCATTGTCAAATGAATTGGGTTTTCAACGATGGTAGTATTTCTCTTTGAAGTGTTGTTATAATCGTAGTAATTCAACTTGGCTAAAATATTTTGATAATAGTTGATATCATTATGACTATGGAAATTAGTTGCCAAGCCAAAATCGGATAATTTCAAATGGCCAAAATTATCGATAAGAACATTATCAGGTTTAATATCCCTGTGGATATAACCTAGTCGATGAACTTCTTCGATTGCCAAAATCATTTCAGCCATGTAAAATTTAGTGACTTCTTCAGTGAAACGATCCAATCTGATCAATAAACCCATCAAGTCACCACCGGGTAGATACTCCATAATGAGATACAAATATTTTAAATCTTGGAAGGAGAAATATAAGGAGACAACCCATGGCGAAGTAGTTTGGGCCATGATATCTCTTTCAGCTTTAACGTGATTTATTTCATTTCTTTGGTACATTTCAGATTTTATTAATCTTTTCATGGCAAAAATATTTCTATTATCTTTCTTTTGAACTAATCTGACTTCTCCAAATGCACCTTTACCAATGACTTTTATAGTTTGAAAATCGTCTATAGTTAGTTTAGTTCTCTTTAACCTTAAAAATTGGGACTGTCTTTGAATAAATCTTTGTTTTGTTCTATTTTTTGAAGCCATTGATGACTCTTGGTATTTGAGCTTTTTCTCTAAATCTAAAACAGTTTGAGTATTTTCTCTAACATCTTGGGCCTTTAGCTTAAAGTAATTTTCCAATTTCAACTTAAAAGTCGAAGCCTTATTTAAAGTCTTTTGGGGGAAAAAGTTTGGCTGTCTGTTGAAAGTCACATAGGGAACTTTATCTTCGGTGTAGGTTGGAGAGTTGATGTTGTCGTAATTATAATTGCTTGGAATATTGGTGTTGACATTGTCGTTGTAATTATTGTAACTATTGTTGTTATTAATGTTATTATTGATATTGTTGTAGATATTGGTGTCGCTGTTGCTGTTGTGCATTTGCATGTTTCCAGAGTTTATTACTATATTGGGATTGGCACTATTGATATTGATATTGTTAATATCGTTGTTGAGTGGTATCTGGTTATCCATGATGAGACCTTTGGCAAGGAGTCGATAAGAGATCAAGCAAGAGGAGAAACGTGTGGTTTAGTTGAAAGCAGTTGAAAAAGAGTGGAATGGTGGAGCAAAACGAGATGGAAGAAGAGCCAGACAAAAAGAGAGCAAGTGGTGGTAGCAAGCCTTAGCAATAAGGAAGAAGCAGTAGAGAGATTGATTTACACATTTCCACCTCACTCAAGAGCTGAAAATTGAAAAGCAGGGCATTCCTAATCAGAAGCGCTCCTCGACCTGAAACCAGCCAGGGGGAGCGTCCCGCGCTGCTGGCCCGCGCCGGCTGCCTGGAACAGAGCGTGTTGCTGCAGGGCTGCAGGAGGTGCCTGTGCTGCCTGTGCTGCCTGTGCTGCCTGTGCTTACTATTGGTGTGCGCTACTTAGCTACATGTATCTGTCTCGCTGAGATGGTCTGCTATGTTCCAGAGGTCAACGAGCCCTTCATCTGCATCTGGCGTGTCTATTGACTCTGTCTTGCTGAGTCTCAAGGGGAGCTGTCTGTCCATAAATGTTCGAAACACTGTCCATTTTTCATAGGAATACTTATCAACATAGCTTGAGCTTTGGACCCAGTTGTCTATTGTGTGGATCAAGCAGTATAGTGAAGTCTTACTAACCTCTGAGCTCTCGATTCTTAAGCACCATATAATTGAGTAAATCACATAAGGGTAGAAGTTTTGCTGATTTATCGATTGCATAAGTATTATGGGAAACAAAATGAGATCTAAATGTGCTGCCATCAATAGCAACGGAGTTTCCAATATTTCAATCAATGAATTCATTAATTCTGCCAAGGAACTGTCAGGGAAAACTTCAACTGCAAGATAATTGCTTAGATTCAACAACGAGTATAACGTAAATGGTAGAATTTTAAATATCGTGATTGGTGTAAATAACCATAACATTGCAAACGATAGTAAATGTGAATTTTCAAATTTTAAAAATTTGGATAATGTGAAGGGAACCAATTCGGGCATTGAGTTATTAATGCTTATAAATATCACAATGCTGTATGTTAATATTGCTCCAAGGTCGGCGGAATAGTACCATATTGTCGGTTTGAAATAAATCGGTTCGATTAAGTTTAATTTGCTGAAGTTGAAAATTGTTAAAAAGTATCCAATAGTCCCAATTATTGTAATGAAATGTGAAATTCCCCAAACGTATTTCAATGTTAATGTGACTTCAGGAAATATGCTCAATAGATTATATTTGACTAAATAATCAATTTTCTCAAACGACAAATCATTTTTGAATTTTCGGATATCTGCTTTATCAACCATTTTATAGAATTTCTCATTAGATTTAATTGCAAAATTTAAATAGTAAGTATATGATCTATCTTTTAAACTTTTATATATTTTATTCATTATCTTTATAAGTTTTCAATTTCTTTATAAGTTTTCAATTTCTCTTTTTTTTCACTTTCTCACTTGATCACCCCTCCAATAATATTTTATCACTGTTATTAATAACACTGTTATAATCAGTATTTAAAATAAATAAGCATAAATACAATTGATATGTTTCTTTAGCAATAAGTCTTTAGCAATTGTGCCCTGATAAAATTTTAATATTTCTAGCCAAATATTCTCAAAATAAATTAAATCGTTAAAAAAAAAGCAAAGAAACTAAAAATTAGAAAATCAAGAAACAAACAAAAATTTTCGGTAATTATTGTTACACAAAACCCTCATAAATATAGTGCTCAAAACCCTCTTTTTTTTCCTTTAATTGGATTAACGATTACTGTCAACTAAACCAACTGAATCAATCCATCTCGACCAACTACATCTGGATTGACCGCTTAAAACTCGAACTCTGAGCAAACAACGAAAAAACTATTCCTGCTCCAAGATAACCTAATAGATAAAAAAACTAGTTACGAAACATCAGTTAGTTTTGCTGCTTGTTCACTGTAAGCCAGCGTTCTCGGAACAGAAGAGGAAAACCACTTACTGCTTTACGTGAATAGGCTCTTTCGTCTTCTTCGGTCCTGAACGACACAAAGATCCTTCGTATGTTGGGCAACTTCATCGCAATGGTAGTGATAGCTCAGCAATAGCCTCTTCTCCAGCATACGCAGGAATGTATCTGAACTGGCCCTGAAACTGCTCCCGCACCTGACTGGCATGTGCAATTCCAGGACTGCGTCTCTCTCGGGCCTTATTGTTGACGCAGAGGTGCGTTTTTCCCAACATTAGAACTACATTTGCTGGATAGACATGAAATTCTATCTTACCATTGAACAAGACATCATTTTGCTTGACTGTTTCTTTTGTTATTTTTATCTTCTTTCAAAAATGTAGTTTTTGTTTGGTTTTGTCTTTGCTCTTTTACTCTTTTACTCTTTTACTCTTTTACTCTTTTACTCTTTTAATCTTTTTATATTTAGTCGGGCTGTTCTTTGTTTTCTAAAAGATACTGGCTCTCTCATCCACTTTTCATAGAGTTCCTTATAGCAATGAGCAAAGAAGTCGCAGCTTGTAGTTTGGATGAAATTCCAAAGGTTGCTATGGAGAGAAAAACACTCAATTTGTTTGATATCTCCTCTGACAACTTTACTAGTACTTCAGCTGAAAACAAAAAACTAATTGAAATTCCAACTATAATAGAGCCCGTCGGCAATTTGTATTATGAACCAAATGATCACTATTATTATCAATCAGATTTATCACTAAACTATCAATCTTATCAAGAATTGGATCTAGAACTTGATCAGAAAAACAGTACAAAATCTGGAAAAAATACTAATAAATTTACTAATAAAGATATATGCCAAAGTGAAAAAAGCCTTGAAAAAGGTATTCAAAAGGTTTCCGAGAAAAGTGATAAAGAAGACGATAACGATGAAAATAATGATAAAGAAGAAGAAGAAGAAGAAGAAGAAGAAGAAGAAGATGATGATGATGATGATGATGATGATGATGATGACGAAAATGAGCAAAATAAAAACAATAATAAATACCTAAATTATGATTATTATTGTAATACATTGTACGATCAAACAGATTGCTCTGATTTTTACTATGATTTAGAATCCATAAAGACAATCAGTTATAATAGTACGGAATTTGGTTTGAAGGATGAAGAATCTCAACATGATACCAACAATAAATACCGAAACAGAACCATAATTTTCGATCAGCAAAATCAACAATCAAGTGGTTTAGAAAAGGTAGATGATTTATCAAATATGTTGAATCAAAATTCTTATCCATTTGATGGTTTTAGTGAATTCTACAATAAAACAAAACAAGACCAGGACCAATATCAGGACCAATATCAGGACCAGGACCAGAACGAGGCTTATGATCGAGATTACGATCAAGATCAAGAGCATTATAATTTGCATCAAAGAGCCTTAAATATTACAAGATGTAAGTACATGGAAAACAAAGAGTATCTTGTAAAATCGACTGCTTCATATTATATTGTTGAAGAAGAAACCTCAAGAATTAATCTTAAAAAAATCAATAATGAATTGATGAAATCTAATTTAGGTCAATATATTGAAAATGAATCTGGATCAATCAACAATAACAAAGAAATTTTTCAGACAATAATAAAATCCACAGATAATACCAGCCCCCATGAATTGAAGGCATTTTTACTTGATATTAAAGATAAAAATTTAAAAGTCTCAATTTATCTAAAACACACTGATGTTTCCAATGTTCCAAATTCTGATTATTACAGAAGATTGGCCATACTCAACTCCATCTCCAAAAAATACATCTAAAGTTATTTCAACAACTTTCAGGCTTATATTTCTTTTATTTCTATTGACTAATAATTTTACCCATTTAACTCAGTTGTGCATTTTTCGGTTTTTTTATCATTCTCTTTCATTTTTGTTCAATTCTGTCTCAGCGGTTTCCTAAAATGGCTTTCCCATAGTAAAGGACGTTGGCTGACAATAGTTATGTAATACAATGTATTTTCTTGCTTTGAGAAGCTTTTACAAAAACACTAAAATATTTGCATTGATGCCCCATATCCTCAATACATTCTATATAATATATAAATATGGTATAGACATTATTAAAAGTATTCAAAATGCATTTGCAAAGCTTTATTTCAAAGCTTCTTTCTGGTCGCCAAATAATGTGTAAACAGGAGCCGGCAATTTGTCTCTTCCTTTCAAAAAATCTAACTCCATCACAAAGATAAACTCCAAAATATTTGCGTTGACTTTCTGAAACAAATTACCAGCAGCGCCAGCCGAACCGCCAGTGGCCAATATATCGTCTACAATGATAACATTGGCGTTGGTCTTAATATCCTCACTTTGAATCTCAAATACATCTTCACCATATTCTTTTTGAAATGTAGCAGAAACTGTTTTGCCTGGTAACTTGCCCTGTTTTCTCACTGGGATAAATCCTGCGTTTAATGCTAGTGCTAAAGTAGGAGCAAATAAAAATCCTCTGGCTTCAAGACCAACAACATAATCAATCTTAACACTTGCAAATTTCTTTTCAATATGATTCTTAAATACCTGAATTAATTTGTTAAATAAATCGGGAGAGCGAAATATAGGCAAAAAATCTTCAAATAGAATACCTTCTTGAGGGAAGTTAGGGTATTGATTTAATGAATTTTTCAATTCTTGAATAACTTCGGAGTCTGACATTTTTATTGAAGGCCAATCTATACAGTTCTCAAATAAATATACAAAGATAACAATTGAAAAAAGTGCCCATGAAAGCGAAAAATCGCTGGGAAAAAAAACTGATTAAAAAATAGCCGTTCATTTTTTAAACCAATCGCAAAGTTCGATGATAAACGAGCCAATAATTTGAAATAAATCTCTTTAAGTCGCCATTATTAATGGTTTTCCTTCAATATTCTCAAGGAATACTGAGCAAAATTTTCACTTTTATTGATTTTATCATCAAGATTTGGCTGCATAAAAATAGCTAAAGTGTTTCTTGCTATATTCAAGTTTTTCATACTCTTTGAAGTCCTAACACAATGTCTAACTGCGTTGAATTTATTGCAGGAGATTTCTTGTAATGAACTTCCAATTTGAAATACAAGTGAATCTCGAGGTATATCGATCCTCAATTTTTCTTTGTTCGTAGAAATTTGAATATATAATCCCGAAAAATCTTTATCATTTTCTAAACCATCTTTTGTTTGAAATGTGTCCACCTCCTTTAAATTTGAAAATAAATATTTGCCACTGCTTATGGCCTCACTCTCATCGACAAACATTGCTGATGTTAATGCTGTGAGACACGAATGGTCAACGTGCTCTCCACACCATAGATTATCGTCAAAATCATTTTGTTTAATTGACTTCAAGGGAAAATAGTGCAATAATCTGGCTTTTGTAGTTGTAGAATTTTTTACGATATAGGGCAAATATCCCTTACTGTAATAATCTTCTTTATTGACATGACTCCAAATATAACTGTCCAACTTTTCTGACAATTTCAATCCAATTTGTAGGATATAATTAATTAATGCTTTACAATCTTTTTGAAAGTCTTTCAATTCTTCTAATTGTTTTATTTGCTCTTTATTCTTAATGCTATCAAACCATTGATTTTTTATCGTGTAACTTTTAAACTCTGAAAACGATTCAATATCACTTAAATTGGGCCCTTCTAATTTTGAATCTTTAAAAAATGAGCAATTGATATAAAATGAACCTTTCAATAAATCAAAATTTCCATTCTCTAATTTTTCTTTACCTAATGACCACCCAACCAAATAAATTGATTCCTTTATTTCCAATAATTTTAAAATATCATCAGAAAGATTGGCGAGAATCGATGAAGATTTTAAAACCTTATCTCTTAATGATAAATAATCTTTGGGCATTTGATTAATTATTATTAATCCCAATGATTTCTCACCAAATGCCTGCTCCAAAATTTTATCATCTATAGTACTATCAAGTTCATCTAAATTTATTGATATTGGCTTCATGTTGATTTTGAGTATGGTTTCATTGAGTGTTATGATTCCGATTTTTCTTCCTACCTAAAAAAAAAATGTTAAACAAAGTAAAGGTAAAACAATTTAAGTTTACCAATTCTCATAAACAACTAGTGAGATAACAAATTTTGTCAATGGACTCAGCTTTACTCAGATTCAAATTCAAAAAATCAAGTTTATAAAATTAGAATTTTATAGATTTGCAATTTTCTAATTAAAAAGATCCGAAACTCATAAAAAGATTATTAAAAATACTTTCTTGATAACCCAAACCAAAAAAAATATACTCTATCTGAAGGACAGTTTTCAAAATAAATTATAACAAGACACTTTTTATTTGACTAAGATTGTTTTAAGTATTTTTAAAAAAACAAAGTATTACGTTTTTATTTCCAAAATTTATCAAATAGTCAGCAATAGTCTAAGAAAAATTATATAATTATTTATTGGTTTTTATATCGTTTCCAAGTCTGATTCTTTGCAAAAAAAAAATAATAGACTAACTGGAAGCCAAAAATAAATTTTATAAAACATTTGAGCTTTAAAATCTAACAGAAAAAATAAAACTTATTATTACGAAAAAGTCATTTGAACTAGATTTAAATAGAAAACTACATGGTGTTTGAAAAAGAAAGCTTTTAGATTTAGAATAATTAAATAATTTATTAGGAATATCAGTAATTTAAAATGATAAAGAATATTGGCAGATTAATAGTTAAGAAGATTAATAGTTAAGAAGATTAATAATTAGGAAGATTAGGTTGAATGAAAAAACAATTCATCATTATGAAAATAGGAAAATAATCATAAAGAGAACAAAAAGAGGACAAAAAATATAACACATTAAGAANACAATATAATATATTAAAAAACAATAAATATAACACATTAAAAAAACAATACAGCACATTAAGAAAACTGGTTTTGCAGTTTAAAAAAGTTCGTTGTAACNACTAGTAACACGAGCAGCATTTGCTTTTGAAAACTTGAAAAAAGATCTTTTACTTTGAGGTTTGCAATCAGGAACTTTAAGAAGAGAAAGCTTAGAAAGACCAGAAAATGTAGATGTTGGTAGTGAAATATGAGAGAACATACTCTCCAATTCGGTTTCAGATTCAGATTCAAATTCAGATTCATGCTCAGATTCAGAAGTTGATGCAAATTCCAATTCTGGCACATTCTGGTGTTGGTAGTGATGGTGAGCTGGATGTGCTTTGGGAAGCTGAGGAAGGTAGAAATGCTTTTTGTTCATACCATAGTATTGAAGCATATCATTTCTGTAGTCCTGATTTGACTCGCTGATGATGATCTCGTTGATATTTCTAGTCAACTGAGATAGCTCACCGTATTTCTCAGTGGTGAAGGTGACTTTGATATTTTGAGCAGCATAGTTGAAAATTCCTTTTGAGTGCTGTTTTAGCCATCTGTGGTGGGAGATATCAAGCAATGAAGGTCTGGTGTCAGGATTTGGATCCAAGATTAAATTGACCAAATCTATGACATCTTCATTGACCAAAGCATGTTTGAGAGATTGAGTTAAGTCAGATTTCAAATCAGATTCCAAGGCCGGAAGATGTCCAGTAACCAATTGGTGTAAAAGCAAGCCTATTGACCAGACATCGACTTTGATAGCATTGACAGTTTTGATTTTGTCGGATGAATTGCCACCACAAAGGAGTTCAGGAGCAGCAAGTTTGGAATTTGCTGGTTGGTAGAGATCAACCATAATTTGTGTGATATGGCTTCGAGCTTCAGCAAAACCGTATTTATTGGCTTTGCAAGCAAGACTCAAGTCAGTGAACATGAGCTGGGAGTTGTCTGTTGAGACTGACAAAGTGTGTGTGTTCAAGTCTCGATGAGCAAAACCACATTGGTGCATGTAATTCACAGACGAGAGCAAGGACAAGAAGAGGTTTCTGATTTGGTGCTCGTTGGAGACAAAGCCATCGCATTTGTAGTCGATAGACTTGATAAAGCGACCTAGCGAGCTGGATTGTGGAATACGGTCTTTTACGATACCATAGGCACCTTTGCTAGATAAAATCTCATGATAGCGAGTGAAATTGGGATGTAATGATAGCATCTTATTGATCTCCATTTCATTGATAATTGATTTGTGTTTGGATGGTAGCTCCTC